CACCACCACCTCCGCCAGTACCACCAGTACCTCCGACACTACTTCCGCTCCCAGTTCTGCCGGCTCCAGGCTCCGTGACGGCACGATTTAAAACGACGTTACGACCGTGCGGCTGACGGACGTAGAAGCGTCGAGACGTTGCAGGTGTAGCGAAAGACATGACCCTTTGGGAGAAAAACGTTTAAACCTAGCAGAGACAATAGTACCTGTTTTGGGGGAGCAAGTAAGAATGATCGGCGACTAAGCCGGTTAATGCAAATATGAACCTAGGTTAAGGGTGCTCGCCGAACGACAACCTTCCAAGTGAAGGAGGATTTGTATAATCGCCAATCTGGTGTCAATATGGTGACTCGGTGAAGTCACCTCATTCAAACCAGAGCGCGCCGGCGCACACTCGACTAGAAAGTTGCATACAAGGCATATCATTTTTGAAATAACTATTATCGATCAAACGAGGCCCTATAGGCTTGGCGGTCAGCTCATATCACGGGCTAGCCCGAGTCAACTGGCACAGACAACTTACTTTAGGGCTTGGTAAGGCGTGGAGACCGATCTGTGAGTAAGTCGGTGCGTCCGTCGGTTTTCGGCTGGTGTTAAGTCCGAGTGGTCAGTCGGCTTGTGAGTTGATCAGAGCCAAACGAACCGAAAGTTGAATAGGAAGCTTGTGAGTCAGTCGGTTAGTCCGCTGTTCAGTCTCTCGGTTAATCCAGCCGTTAGTTCTTCAGTCGGTTCGTCGGTTCGTCTGTCAGTTTTCGTCGGCTGGCGAGTTTTTTAGTCGGTGAGTCCGTCAATGGGTGAGTTCGTCGCGGGTTGGTGAGAGGCCGGTAGATCCGCCGGTCCCGGGGGCTAGATGCTAGAGCGAATGGCAGACGGGCAAATTGCCTGAGCCAGCGTTTAAGGTGGCCGATCGACAGACTAGCCCACTTTTGAGAGTGAGCTAAATTCAAAACAGGAGCGATCAAGTCTAGCATCAACCGCTTCGGGGCTTGCAAATGCAGGCGTCCGCGCCTACACACATACGCACATGCGCATGAATTAGACTTACTGGTTATATACAGGTATACAGACGTGCAAACAGGCTTGAAGGCACGGAGGCACACGCGCACTTGCACTAACTTGCCTGAAGGGCTACTTTGCTTGGCATAAAGAGGCGCGCTTGCAAGTTCTATCTGCTCTGCTGAAGCTGACAGGCCGTCCTATCGATCGTCAAAGCTTTTGCCTATCGATCCACGTGAACGCATCTCTGCCAGTCAAATTAGTGCATTCTGTTGGTTCATTCCGAAGTCGAAGGACGAGATCGCTGACCTGAACCTGTGCCCCCTTCTGGCATTTCGGAAATGAGGCATTCTAGCCAGGCATGCACCCGATCGTGACTGATGCTGAAAACTTGGCTGCGCCTAAGAACGCACGTATATGTGCGTGTGCGTGCATGTGTGCGTGCATGCGTACTTGCGCACATGTACGTGTTCACAGTAGCCTAATATAGGAGAAGAAAAGCTGCATTATCTTCACCATTTCTATTTCTGACTTGCTTTACTGAGCGCTGCCTTGACGTCGGAGAATTGGGGACCGGCCGGCTTCGGAAACCAGCCAACCCGACATGATTCAGCTGACAGCGTCTGTCTCGTCTCAGACCAGCTACGTTGAATCGGGCCGACTCGACGTCGTTTTGACCAGCTTCAGAGGCGCCGACGATGGGACAACGTCAAGTCTGGAGAATGGGTCACGGGCCTCTTTCCTCACGTGACCACGGCCACCATTTGCAGGCAAAGGCGGCAGCGTAGACGACAGCAGCGCGTTGGCAATAGCAACTCGCATTTTGTGACGCCAAAATAGTGGTTCCCCTCCATCGGGTCCTGGATGCGTCCTCCCCACCCGGTCTCTATACGGAAGGAGGCCTGTGCTTGTTCACGAGGCTGGTCCCCAGTCTTGATTTCATGGCGGGACTCGAGCCCGGATTGTGTGAAGCAGCCAGTTGAGGTGACTGCGTCCACACGTGGACTCGTGCCTCGCCGCTGCTAGTCCCGAGACCAGCCTAAGCTTCAAGATGTGGTTTGACGTCGTTTTCGCAACTTGGTCGTGCTGTCGGGGCGACCTCGAAGAGTCTTTCGTTGCTGTTGTCCTTCCTCAGTGTGACCTCATTGTCATAACAACAAGAGGAAACAACTCGTCCTAGAAGCAGATGGAGCCGATCTTTTAGCGAACTTTCTGCTGAACACTCGTGCCATCTCTCCTTTCCCTGGCACGCTAACATTAACCATCCTGTGCAAAAGTCCAAGAGAGGTATGGCCAGGATGTGAACTTCATTTGTCCCCCTAACTTCTAGTATCTCGATGCCGGTGAAGGATCTTAGGCAATCTTACAGTCACATTGGCTATTCCCATACTGTTGGTACTTTTTATATTTATTGACAAAACTACTTGAATACATCGTAGATATGAAGACCAAGGTTTACTT